AAGAGAGAAAGAGGCCAGGGAGAGTGGTTAGGGAATGCCTCTAGTAAGGTGGTACTGGGAGCAAAGCTCTGAAGTGCGCGGGCCTTAGGGGTGCTATGTGGGAGTAACTGCTGCAGGCAGGGGCTAGCACCTGAAAGCCAGAGGGTGAGTATGTGTCCCATGTCTAAGAAACAACTAGGTGGCCAATGCGTAGCTCATTTAAGTGTACATGCCTATAAGCAAGTAATACAGCCTAAACCTTAAATGGAAAGGCTTCTTGTTGCTGCTTTTTTATCTAAAAGCTGGCACAGGTATATATACAGTGTTATTTTCTGATTGGGTCTGAAGAAATTATAAGTGGGACAGGTGCGATATTCATTTATTCAAAGGGCTAATCATTTAAAGGCAATGAGAAACTGTATCAATACATGAAATAAAGCAGCCCATTCTGAAATTGAATTATGTGACGACTTATGTGGCTTAAGATAACTGCTAGGACTCTCAAACAAATCAGCTGTTTGACAAGGGTGAAGCTTTTCTACAACAGGGAATCTGCCTTTATTTCCTTCCTTCTACATATTCCCATATAAGTCACATGTGGAAATAAAAGAATCTGAAAAATACAAGGTAAGAGCTACTTGCCACAATCTGAGCAAATCTTCAACTTCAAGAAATCCATAAACATTACAACTGTGTGAAAGAGAAACTGATGATAGTGATAACTCAGAGACTAAGTAGATAAATGATCCTTAAGGCAAAGGCTTTTTAAAAAGATTTATGAGAGAGAAAGTGCGCATGCAGGGCCGCACAAGAGATAGCGGGGAGAGGCAGGAGAGAACCCCAAGCAGACTCCCCTGCCGAGCATGGAGACTGAAGTACGACGTGGGGCTAAATCTCACGACCCTGAGATCATGACTGGAGCTGAAATCAAGAGTCGGACACTTAACCAATTGAGCCACCAGGTGCCCCAGCCAACAGCTTTATTTAATAAAAATTGATATTTACTATCGCTGAGTTCTTTTAATAAATATGAGCACTTCTTGTATCTGCTTAATGTTGTAAAGGACATTAATAGCGTACCAGCTTTCTTTGTTTTACTCTAACAGAGATAGTTTCTTCTGTTTGCAATTTTTTGTCTGCTTCTCAGAAAGAAAAAAAAAAAACAAGCAGACTCCTAAAAATTCTGTACCTTGTCAGTCTGTATAAAACATTTCAAAGTTAAAGTCTGCAAATAAACTTTTGAATTAAAAAATATTTCAGACTTTTAAAGGGCTTTAATTAATACTGTCTCCCCTTCCCAATTTTTTCTATTTGTATACATCTTGATACTTCCAGTTCCCTACCAAATATCCTTTTAAAAACAGTAGTTTTTAAAGGCTCCAGTATTTCTAAAATTTTACATTTCTAGTCTCCACCTGAAATAGAATGTTTGTTCATACTAACACGCACGTGCATGCATACTTTCTCTTTTTTATTCTTACCCTTCTGAAGACAATCCCTTAAAGCTCAACTTTTAAGTTTTTGATAAATGTACATTTTAAAGTCAGTTCTACAGACTTGACATAAGAACAGTAAAATCTCTAAGTACTCTCTTAAGCTTCTAGTTCACTAGTAGAGCAATCAGTCACTCACAAAAAATTTAGCTTTGCTAAAAACGACACCACCATTATTTGGCAAAATAGCACTGTAACAGGACCTGCAGCCAGATTATTGGAGAGGTATGAGAATGAGAGATCTCCACTCAAGACCTCCACCCACATCTGCTCTCGTGAAACCAAGAAGCATCACAGACCAAAAACTACAAGGATGACAATGCCTTTTCAGAAATCTCAGTGACTGGTCAGCACTTAACAGGGGTAGAGAGTAGGTAGAAATTCATCTTGGGGAAGGCAGGAACTTGTGCCTAGGCTGAGACCTGCAGAGTCCTCATTATAGATTCAGATAATGACTATACTGAAAGACTTGAACAAACTTTACAGAAATATGAGACCATTCTAAAGAAAGAAAGGGGTATTAGTCACCAAAACTAGAATTCTAGGTGAGAATTACACCAATAAAAAAATTGGAGGAGGGGGGTGCGAGAGACCAACAGCAGTGCTTGCGCAGTGACCTGCCTCACTGCTCTGCACTGTTCTTCAAAATCCTTCAATCACTATTAGACCAAAAGCTATTGGAGCATGTTTTCAGCCAGGAGCTTGGAAAGTAAGCCTACCTTAAGCAGTAAGTTGAAGGTAATGTTACACTTCTGCATGATAAAGTGGATCCAGTAAATGTTTCCAATTCAGTCATGCCCCATTCAGCAAGTATTTGCTAATGATATTTGTCAATATACTAGGTACTGGGGATAAAATGGTAGGTAAAAACAGACTTGTGCCCTGCCCTCATGGGGTTTACAGTATGGTTGGAGATAAACAATAATAAACTAACAACAGGAAAAAGGGGGGAGGCAAAAGGGACAAGTGGTACTAAGGAATGGTACAGGATGCTATGAGAGCCTGCACACTGGGGCATTTGACCTAATTAAGGAGATGAGAATGTATGCCTCTGGAAACCATAAAAAGGCTTAGTGGCCATGAAGACAGCTTCCTCCTTATCACCCTGATACCAAATCGTGAGGTCTCCAACTACCTTCATTTTCCATACCAATCATGGAGTTCTTTGGCCTGACTAAAGTACGCAGTTACAACTCAACTGGACCAGCAGATAGATTACTGGTAAGAGCACCCCTCCATCCGTATCAACAACCTCTAGAAATGTCCCATTTACATCACTTTCTCTATCATCTTTCACGTTTAACTTCAAAATGGCAAGTTCAAGGAAAGATCTGGGGTTCCATATTCCTTTTGCATTTCCACACACTTCAAGGGAGGAAAACGAAAACTAAGATGAGACAGTAGCTTAAAATAACCCTTCCCAGCATCCAATTTCTCTGCCTCCAAATGTTACCCACTCCTACCAACCTCAGCGCTGATACTGTGTTGCTTGGGGGATCCTTAATTAAATTTTAATTAGCTGGGCCAATGTTTTGCTTTTAACAACAACTGCGTGAAAAAAAAATGAATTGTAGGGAATGATTTGTAAGAATAAAGTTGGCTTGGAGTGCCTGGGTGGCTCAGTTATTAAGTGTCCGACTCTTGATTTCGGCCCAGGTCATGATCTCAGGGTCCTGGGATCCAGCCCTGAGACAGGCTTCCTGCTCAGCAGGGAGTCTGCTTGAGATTCCCTTTCCTTCTCCCTCTGCCCCTCCCCCCCCCACTCACACACACTCTCATGCACGCTCTCTCAATAAATAAATCTTAAAAAAATAAAGCTGGCTTTATGCTTTCCCTCTGGCTTTCTTTCCACCATAAAATGGAAGTAAAAGTTTTCTATGTAGCCCACTCTGGGTACCAGCTTCCTACATTTATAAGGCAGTTCCCTGAAACTGCATTAGCCACACTGGTCTCCTCAAGCACTCCTTTCTTCCTCTAATCACCACCTGCTTTCTGTCACATAGCCTACCCCCAAGCCAAGAGAAATATAGGTCCTCTGAGTCAAGCCTAAGTATATTCAGTAAAGTTATAAAAT